GCCCGCCCGCTGCCCGCTCGCCTCGCCCGCCGCCCCGCGACCATGGCCGGCTGGCAGAGCTACGTCGACAACCTGATGTGCGATGGCTGCTGCCAGGAGGCCGCCATTGTGGGCTACTGCGACGCCAAGTACGTCTGGGCAGCCACGGCCGGCGGCATCTTCCAGAGCATCACGGTGAGCGGGGAGCGCGCCGGGGACCGCGGGACGAGGCCGGGCCGTGAGGGCACCTTGCGCTCGGGGAACGCGGGCCCGCCCGCCCTCGTCGCCTTTTTGTGTGCGCGGCGGTGGCGGAGCCGCGGGCGGGGGCGGCGGCCGGGCCGGAGCGGAGCGGAGCGGAGCGGAGCGGAGCGGGGGGCGCGGGCAGCGGGCGGAGGAGGCGGCGGCGGCGGGGGAAGGAAGGAAGAAAGGAAGGAAGGAAGGCAGGCAGGCGGCTCCAAGCTCCGCCGCCGCGCCGCCGGCTCCATGTTTTCTCCGCCAAGATGGCGCTCTGCCATTGATGCTCCCCCGCCCTGCCCGCCCGCGCCCCCGGCCCGCCCGGCTCCACCGCCCGCACCGCCCGCACACCGGGGCCGCCGCCGCGGCTCCCCCGACACCCGGGGGGAGTTCCCGTTCCCGTTCCCGCTCCCGTTCCCGTTCCCGGTGTGGCCCAGGCGCCGCTGGGCCGCGGGCGGGGGGCCGGGCCCGCCGTGACGCTGCACTTTGCGGCCGCCGCGGCGCGACCGGGCCCGCGAACCCCCCGAACCCCGATCCCCCGAGAGCCCTTCCCCAGCGGAGCGGAGCCGCGCTGAGCCGCGGTGCGGGCAGGCCCCGCGCTGATCTCCCGGGACAGTGCGGACCGAGCCGGGTCAATCTCCCGGCGCTGTTTAACGGGTGCGATCCCGAGACAGAGCCTCCCCCGCCCGCAGACAGCGCGGATCAGCCAGGCTGCGCCTAACAAAGCCCTGCGTTCTGGAGCGCTTCCTGCCAGGGGAAATCACGGCCTSGCCGCGCCGCGCCGCGCGGGACCGGTGCTCAATAGAAATCTCTGCTGCCGTGCTAACTCGGAGCTCTTTCTTGTTTTTTTTGACAGCCGGGRGAAATAGATCTGGTTGTAGGAAAAGACCGTGAGGGTTTCTTCACCAACGGTCTGACCCTTGGTGCGAAGAAGTGCTCTGTGATCAGAGATAGTCTGTATGTCGATGGCGATTGCACAATGGACATCCGGACAAAGAGTCAAGGTGGTGAGCCCACGTATAACGTTGCTGTAGGCAGAGCTGGACGAGGTAAGCGCCCTTTTCTCTGCCTCAGGTAGGAACATGCCCCTAAGGCTGTTGAGAAAACCAGATTCCCCTATTTAACGGCTGATTTTGGGAAGGGGTTGGATGGCAGTGTTCTGCCCGGGGATTACACTCATCCCTGCTCCCACCTCAGCACCAGGCTGTGCGATGCAGGGAGAGGAGGAAGCAGTTCCGAGTAGATTTAGCCCCTATTCCATCACTTGGTACCTGAGGCTCAGCAGCATTCTCTCAGTGACTGCATTTCTCGTTGTAAAAACTGCTCGATGGAAGGTTGATTCTGCAAAGATGGGAATCCCTTGTATATGCTGCTCCTACTTTAAAAGTTCTATATTGAGCTTGCTGAAGTGTGTCCAGGCAGCAAAAAAGCCCRTCCAGCTGGGTATCTCTGAGCAGTGTGTGCTTCATGCTCACACACCCGCTCCTTGTGTTTAACTTCCAGTAAAACCTCTTCTGGGGCAGCCACTCGGCTGGGGTGTAAAACGCTGTGCCTTACACCTGTTGGGAACACCTGGGCCAGCAGTTTTGGTCTGGTTCCTGGGTGAGGAGATTTTTTCCTACAGGTGTAAAAGCARAGGCAGAGCAGGTGTCTGGAGGCTGAACCCAGGGCAGGGATGCAGGATAGGGTTGGCAGCACTGGTGGAACAAGAGCAGCAGTTCTGACTTGGGAAATGCTAGAGAGAACTGCCTTAGGCTTTGGTGAGCAAATGGCTGTGGAGATGGAATCRTGGTCATTAAAGTCCTTCAGGATCACAGAATCCAACTGTTGTGGCACTGCTGCCAAGGCCACCCCTGCCYCRTGTCCCTCAAATGCCACAACCACTTGAAATGGCTTTTAGATCCCTCCAGGGCAGCCTGTGCCAGGCTTGGACAGCTGGTTGGTGAASTTTTCCTAAAATCCAATCTAASCCTGCCCTGGTGCAGCCTGAGGCKCTGAGCCACCATCAGTTGTGGGTGCACTGGCTGCAGCATTCCCACCCAGCTTGGCAAAGTGTCCCTGTCCTGTCACAGCCCAGTGCCCATCGTGTCCCTGTCCCTGCTGGGGACAGCTGATGGCACATCCCAGTGGCAATTGCTGTGAGGAGCCTTCAGTGTTCTTTCACCAGACAATCCGGGAATCCTTGCTGGAATTGGGGGAGTGGGGAGAGAGGCAGCGTGGCAATCTTTTGTTTCATGTAAAAAATGTGATTTATAGCTGTGKTATTGCATGGAAAGTCTTAGCCTGACTCACCCGTTAGGTTTTATTTTATTAACATCAGTTAATAACTAATAATAATCAGTTAATTAACACCGTCCCAGCAGTGAGCAGCAGAACACAGGGATTTTCCTTTGCCCCTCTCCAGTCCCACTGTGCACACACACACACACTGCCCCTCTGCCCCTCAGCTGTTCAAACTGAGCCGGGCTTTTCTTGAGGGTGAGAGGCACTGTAATGCTTTCTTGATGGAAAATAAAATCCCTGAGGATGGCTCGTGCCTTCTCCCCCCAGCCTTGTCTACATTTGTTAAACTAGCTGAGTACCCAAATGCTAAACCTTGAAATTGAGGGTATTTATTGCGCTGCCTAAAACTTGCCATGTCTAACGCACCCTTTTTAAAACTTTTTTTTTTCTTTTCTCTTTCAGTCTTGGTCTTTGTAATGGGCAAAGAAGGGGTCCATGGAGGCGGATTGAATAAGAAGGCATACTCAATGGCAAAATACTTGAGAGACTCTGGGTTCTAGTTGTTAGGCAGACTGTTAAGTATTAGGGGAAGATTGCTATTAAACTTTCCTGGCGGTGAGCTTTAAACCTTACATTCTGGAAACTTTACTAGCAATGCAGGGTGATGGGGTATGAACCTGTGTCTCCTTTGTATCCCTTTGTTGGTGGGGAAAGGTGTTTTTTGKTTTTTTTTTTTCCCTTTAATTCTGTTCATTTCTGTTTTGTTTCCTTGTGTACTCCAGCATTGGTTATAGTCATGGGAAAAGAAGGTGTCCATGGAGGGACACTCAACAAGAAAGCATTTGAACTGGCTTTGTACCTGAGGAGCTCTGATGTCTGAGCAGCCTCTCCCCATCCACTAGCAGCTGTCTGCACCACCACCCGCTTGTGCTCAGTGCTACCAGCCTCTAGATGGTAGTTTGTGTTGGTTTTTTGTTTTTTTATTTCCCCATTTCCCAGTGTCATAACTGCAGTTCCCCCTTGTTGATCTCTGTAACCAGTGTAGGTAACCGAGCCCAGCTGGCACCACCATGATATGCATGATAATAACTGGGGAGGGGGGAACACGCCAAGTGTAGGCTCTGCTTTTCTTAGCAATTAGTGTGATATTGGCAACTAAACCGACTGAGATACTAAACAAGGTGCCGAGTGTGTACAATCTAATTTGATCGATGCCTCTTCAGCACTTTGAGCGAGTCACAGCTCACCAGTCTTCCTTCACAGAGCATGGTTGGGAGGAAAAAAAAGTACATGCATATCTTCACTTGTGTCCCTCTCTTGGTTTCTGTTTTTTAAAGCCGTGTGTTTGCTTACACCACCCCTGTTTATAGTGCCTGCTTTGTTTAACCGATTTGCCACTCAAAAGCTGTTCATGTCACGTTGGTTTTGTCATTGCACTTCACCAGCTCTGAGTGTCTCTGCTTTCTCTCGATGATGTCTGAAGGTTGTAGTGCAATCACAAAACTACAAAAGGGTACAGATGCACTTCCTGCCATGCCCTTAGAGCACCATCCTAGGGATTCCCCAGACATTCCATCATTGCAATAGCTCAGGCACTTTTTTTTTTTTTGCCAGCTCCTGTTCTGTAGTTGACTTGTGCAAGGCTGCCACCCTTGGCCTGGCATAACCAGCTGGAGTGTGTCTGGTTTCAGTTTCTCATAGGACCAATTTTMATTTGCAGCTTGGGGGTCGGGGAGGGAGGCGGGACGGGGGGTGTTGTTTTTGTTTTTTAATATGAAAAACTGCAATGTCATTGTGGAAAACTGCCACCTTCAGCTATCCTGGGAGCTCTGACTGGCTTCAGTCTTTCTGCCAGAGCGCTCGGTGGCGCAGAGTTTGGCTGCTCTGAAGCCACTGTCTGGATGAAGGTCAGTAGTTTGTAAGCTAAACTGTCAAAATACCATTTCAAATTTAAAACAAATCTTCATTTGGCCTGTCACACCCTTGCTGCAGAAACGATGGAGTGAGCTGCCTTGTGCACGAGTCATCTGAAATGTCTGTAACCCAACTCAGTTCAGGCMCGGCTCTGAGCTGCGTGTCCATTGYGAGAACTGCAGAACTCTGTATGCTAAAGAATAAACGGGAGATGGGAGTGGTTGGAATAACTGACTTGGCTGTCTTGTGATGAACTTTTTAATATGTATTCTGTGCCATACTATTGTTAAAAAAAAACAAAAAAAAAAGAACTGTTGCTATTGTGAGATGGATTTTAACTGACTCCGAGGGTTTTTCTTTTGACTGGCACTACCTTAGGGACATTCTAGTACTTGCTTCTATTGTTGGGCCTTGTGGATAATGTACAGATTTAAACAAATTCTTGTTGCTGATTTGTCCATTTCTTTCCCTGCACTTTGTTACATCTGGGATACAGTCTAACTCATCTGATTTAATATGCATTTCAAAAAATGCCATAACTATTAAAAACACCTTGTTTACAGACAGATGAAATAAATTTATTCCAACCAAACAGAACCAGAGTGTTGCTCATTCTTCCCACACCCAGGAATCAGTGCATGGCTGGCCACTTGGTGTTAACTTTTGCAGGACAGCAGTGCTGTGATTTGACTGCAGTAAAAAGCCAGGCAGTCTGGGGTAGATCTTGAGTYAGGAGATGAATTTCTCGTTTAACTCCACATTTATGGGCGTGCTCCCCTCACCCGGGGAAGGGGCAGAGTTCAAATCTTGTACCTTAAAGGATTGCACTGGTATTTGTTACCTGGGAACTCCTAAAAACAGCCCTGGTGGGATGGGACAGTGACCCCTGGAACTCGTGGGATGGGATGGGATGGGATGGGATCCATGGGATGGAATGGGAGATGGGATGGGATCCATGGGATGGGATTTGGGATGGGATGGGATGGGATCCATGGGATGGGATTTGGGATAGGATGGGATTGGGATGGGATGGGATCCATGGGATGGGATTGGGAGGGGACATGGGATGGGATGGGATCCATGGGATGGGATCCACGGGATGGGATATGGGATGGGATATGGGATGGGATGGGAGGACACCCAAGTGCAGATCAGGGAAGGTGAATCTCTAGAAAGGCTCTGCTTTCCTGGGTTCTCGAACCAGGCAGATTCTTCTGGACATGACCTGAAAACAGCTTTGTTCTCCCTTCTTTTCCCCACACCTTCATCATCMCTGTCAGCTGCACCTGCTCCTCTGCTTGGCACTAGGTCTGGGTCTAACTAAAACCTTCCTATTTATCATGTTTATATTCTCCGTGKCTGAACTGGATCTCCCAGTGCCAAAGTTAGAACAGCCCAGCACGTCCAGAGCACGGAGCTGATTCCTGTTCAGYACCAACTGGTACAGAGGATGCAAATCTGCTGCTTCCCCATAAAAYACAGAAAGAAAGCTGTGCTCAATGTCTGGACTCAATTTAAAGCTGCACTCACCTTCTACTGCAGAGCTTTTTGTTTCTCCTGCTTGGGAGGATGAGGGTAARTCCCCAAAGGTGCTTCTGTGCTGAGGCCAGAAGAGCAGGAATTGATGGAGCAGCAACACCGAGGAGTTGTCACCACATTCCTTAGGGTGACATTGGTCCTTTCTGACCAATTCCCCTCTCCTGAGAAGGTGTTCGTGTCACCTGCACACCTCTGCTTGGGTAGGAATTGGGCATTGTTCAAATYACTTTCTCAAATGCATTTGTTGGTGAATTTTCTTAGCATAACATTGTCTGCACCTAATTGCAGCCACTAGAATTACCTGAGAGCTTATCACAAAGTTTAGATCAGTTAGTGGTTCTGGAACTCTTCAGATTTTGGGGTGCCTGGAATACAATAATGAATAAACACACACGCAGCAACAGCAGGGACCTATTTCAAGAAACATCGTCCAGCTCAGTAATTACATCTTCAGGAATCATTTTCCCATTTGGACTCACCTGGACATAAGCATGAAGGGAAATCTTTCCTGGTGAAAATACACGACACTGACTGTCATTACCCCATGGCTGCTGGCAGCAGTGGCTTGGAGAGGAATTATCATTTCATAATTATTGTCCTTTTACTGTGCAAAATAAACTYACCCTGCTCTCAGCCAGAGCCAGAAATCACATCTGGGAATTGTTCAGAGCACCCTGAGCCTCCCTCACACCCCCCAGGCAAACCCCAYGCACAGACCAGGCCAGTCCAAACTCCTCAAGCCACAAGTGACACAAATGAAGGTTTTCTACACAACCTGGACCCTGCACTGTGATTTACAGCACAGAAACCTCTGCCCAAGGCTCCCAACAGTCCCTGTTCTCCAAAAGCACTCCAACCTCAGCAATGTGTGAGTACTCAAATGTCTCAAGCGATGCCAAAGTTCAATAAACTTCTTTGGATACATAAAGTGGAAAACATGTTTATTAACATTCTTTCAAGCTTTCCTTAGTCAAGGCCATATAAAAAAATCACCATTAGAGTGTACACATGGTTTTACTTTCTACAGTTACAGAGGTATTCTATAGAATCTACCTTTTTGTGATACACTGGTAAGTACTGAGTTCTGTGAGACAGGTGTAAGCACTTGTTTTCAAATCAGGTATTTGAAAAGAACAATTTTTTATATACAGTTTAGCAGACTACTGCAGCATAAAATGCTCTTAGTAAGAGGTATATGAGCCAAGGATCAGTAATACTTACCTAAAATTCTTTTTCTAAGTGGAATAAAACCTCTGTCTCGGTTGTCTCCCAAGCCCCACCTCCTCACTGGAAACCAGACGACAAAGCAGTAGCAAGGAGGGATAATTAATATGCTTATGGTGGACCTGACCTTGCAAATKGCTGAAAACTAAACATGTTCTGAATTACCTCATCTCGGGAATTGCTCAGAGGAACTGCTTAAACTCAGCTACCACAGCGAACTCCAAAGGATTGTTTGGAATCACTGCTTTGAGATAAATTGGAATTTCTTCTGCTTTGACACACCACCACGCAGAATATTGATCTGTTGCACATTTTTCTTTCAGCAGTAGTGACGGTTTTCAGGAAAACGATACAAACATGCAAATAGAGTTTTTGTCGGGCCTAAGGGGTAACACATACCTACACGTAATAAATATTGCTCTCAGGATGACCCAGCTGCAGCTACAAAATGGAAATAAAAGTACTTCCAAAGAAATCCCATTTCAACAAGAGACATTTCGAGTCTGTGTGATATTTCTATGGATATAAACTATTAACATTATTCATTAGCATCGTGAAGTCCAGTTTAACTGTTGKTTTTTTGAGAAGACAGAATGCGTGGCTGAATACCTGAATCAAAAAGAAATCTATCTGTAATGATTTAACCAGAGTACTACTACATGAACTGCTGCTCCTATGGAAGAAACCAAAGGGATTACAGATTAAAAGAGATTCCCTACGCAAAGGTTTGTAAAAAGCCTGAAGAACCCTTTTGTTCACACACCTAGCACTGGGTGTTAGTAGTCTCAGACAGTGTTTGCCACTCGGTACTCCCTGTCCTCACTGGGCTGCAGCTGAACCACTACACTCTCCTGGCTGAGCCCGTTCTCGGTGTCACTGCTGTCACCATTGTCATTGTCATTGTCATTGTCATCCTCCTCGTAGTCCGAGGACTCGGTCACGTTCTGCTGGGAGTGGGACTCTGCCAGAGCCCCGAAGGACTGAGTGCTGACCGAGGCCAGGGGTCTGAGCAGGGGGGTGTTCTCTGACACCTCATTCTCCTCCTGGCTGCTGTCTGTCTCCGAGTCCGAGTCCCCCTGCGAAGGGACCACCTTCTGCTTGCACACAGGACACGTCTTCTTGGTTTTGGTCAGCCACGGGTCCACACACTTGCAGTGATATGCTGGTAGAGAATGAGAGAAAAGACATCATTATCAGAGTGAACAGGACTGGGACACCTGGTAAAAAGGACAGGGACACCTGTTAAAAAGGACAGGGACACCTGGTAAAAAGGACATCATTATCAGAGTGAACGGGACAGGACACCTGTTATCATTATCAAAATGAACAGGACAGGGACACCTGTTAAAAAGGACATCATTATCAGAGTGAACAGGACAGGGACACCTGGTAAAAAGGACATCATTATCAGAGTGAACAGGACAGGACACCTGTTAAACTCTGTTTCTCTTCCTGACATGGGAGAATTTCAGAGTGAACTGACACAGAGAGTTTTAGTCCCAAGTTTGTGAGCACACAGCCAGTACAAAACACTGACAGATCACAACCTCACGTGGGTGTATGCAGTGAGTACCTGTGTTCTCTACTGGGTGAATGACAGGAGTAGCACAAMAGCCACATTTGACAACCTTTAAAGCTTCTTGAGGAAATCTATCCACTTTGCAGCAGGCATGCCCACCATCATCTCMCCTCAACACCAATATGTATCAAAGCACCTCATTATTAAATAACATGACTGCATGATTTTGTGGATCTTAAATTAGGTCTGCAATGGGCACTGCAACTAGATTGGTTGTATTTAAAAATAAAATACTCAAGTGTCTTACTTCCAGTATGGAAAACTCAGATCTTCTTAGTGACAGAAACTTGTACCTGGCCAAGAGCTCACACATTTAGGAGCTGGTCACTACATTGGAACACGTTCTCCACCAGAACTGATGGTGCTGCTCAAGCCCAGTTCCTCTGGGAGAGGTACCCTGGACCTGCTCTTTCCCTTTGAGAGCTCCCTGTTTGTCAGCCTGCTTTGGAACTGGTTTTATGATCTTCAAAGCTGAGCCTGGCAGCTGCTGTGCACAGAAGGCAGTGACATCTCTGCAGTGGGCTGGACCTGAGCAGGACTGTCACAGGGGAATATTTCACCAAGTGCCTTTCAGGTGCAGTCAGGTGAGGTGTGCATGGGCACAACTCCAGAGCAGATCCATCCCTTCAGCTGCAACTCCAGCTCACCAAGAGCTCCAGTAGTTTTTGGGGTTTATTAGTCTTGGGGAAAGTGAAGGCCTGTACTTTTAAAGATAGAAAGTATTACATCAAATTCAAATAAGGATATTTAGGGGAGAGTATCAAGCCAAGATTGTCTTTCATGTGTACATCCAAAGAAAAGCACAAGTGGCAATGCCAGCATTTTAGCTTTCAAAAAGAGAAAGCAAGCTTTCCCTTTTCCCACTTTGTACACACATTCCTGCATACTAGCAAAAGGAAATTTTAGAAATCAYTCACTGGGAGAGCTGTTTGAATGTAAACACAAAGCTAAAATCCAGCTGCTTACCAT